AATAAATATGAGCAGTTTGGCTGAAGACCCAACTGTAAATGGAGCGGTACTTTTATAGCGCTTTTCTACTCCATATGAGCACTCAAAACACCTCATTCAACCATTCATACCCACACTTTCTCTGCCTAAGCACTTTTATAACATTCACAGACCAATGGATGGGAAAACTCGGTTCAGTTTCTTTCCCAACATGCAGATTAAAGACTCCAGGTATCGAACAACCAACCTTATACATGACCTTCTCTACCTCCTCCTACCTACAGCAGGCTATAGTTCGATTAAGTTCTGACCAATACTGCAGGAGTGATTCTTGTGAACTATGGAAGGACGGGCAAACGGCATGAACTCAACTGTACTTTGGTTGAATGGGCTACAAACGAACAACCATGAATGAAATCTCAATCTATTAAATGCTATGAGATAATAGCATGTTTTTAGAAAAACAATCAAAACTCGATAAAGAAAAATGATTTTGTTTCTGTAAAATCAAAAAAGTCGCAGTAACTCATGACCAACGTGTGACTTTATCTGATGAGCACCTATTAATTTGCCTGTCATTTCTGACTTTCTGAGAACAAAAATGTAAAGTATGCTCAAGAATATGTTACTTTATTTATAAAACTTTTTAGCTCTGACTAAAACTTCTTTAGGGGGATGTCAGAAATTCCCCTTTGGAGAGACAGGGGAAAAAAAAAAATATCAGGTTTTATAAATCCAAACATATTTCTGTGAAGAGTTAGAGAAGTTTCCACGCATCAAGTATCGAAACAGACATATTTTGGTTTCACGATTTCCCGATCAGGACACTATTTTAACTTTAGGCCAAAGTCTGTAACATTGATGAGTTAAACCCTTTGGCATATTTTGTTCTTGTCAAAAAGTTTTCCTACATCAGTATTAAGGCTTTAAGGACAGGGAAGGCTGTGTGCACGATAAACTGTAAAGCTCTTAAGGCCAATCAGAGAGATGTTTGTCAACTTCTTAAAATGAGAAATAAACGCCCCCCCAACACAAAAGTAAGAGTGTGGGATGCTGCCCTCACAGTTAGTTAAACTAATTATTCTTGACTTAATAATGAACAAGCAGGATTATTATGGTTAGTGTTAATATTTAGTTTTGGCTATGTGCGGAATAAAATTTCAAGTAACAGAACTAAAAATAAAACTAGAAAACCAGAACTAACTGACATCATATTGTATATGCAAAAAAATACATAAAAATAAAAATACAAAACTGTAATTTAAAAAAAAAAAAAAGGGTAGGAAAGGTATTTTGTTTTAGTCAATTTGGTATTACAACCTGCATGAGGAAGATCTGGTGCATATGGGGAAATGATGATTCGGGTGTGGTAACGTGTAGACCGTTTGTCTACCTTTAGAGTGTCTGTTGTCAAGATGGGGGGGCCATGCCAAAACACAACCAATCTGTGGGCTAGTCATGCTTGTGCTGTTGTTGGTCTATCGCCCAGCCACAGAGAAGATATGATATACGAAATCCCCTCACTATGATCAAGCACTTGGTGACAGTGAGAAGGAAAAAACCCTTTTAACAGGAAGAAACCTCCAACAGAATTAGGCTCGGGGGGGGGGTCAACCATGTTCCACAACTGGTTTAAGTTGTGAAGTGAAAAGAAGTGAAACCAGGTGCTAGACTGCTGAACAGCTTTAAGCTTAGCTCAGCTGGAGACCTGATGGCTCAGCAGTCATTCCTCTTATATTTCTTTAAAGTCTGCATAGTTGGTGCACTGTAATGTAAATTTTCTGCAGATGAGTCTGTGCAGTCAAGAAAAAAAAAAAGGCAGACAAATGGATGTTGGAGGGACATTTGCAAAAACTGACTGATGAAATTTATGTCACTGGAACCCAAATGGACATTAGTGCATTTACGTTAAGTATTGCCCTGTAATCCCCACTTTACTCACCAGGCTATCAGGAGGCTGAACTCGGGATTTGTTCATTATATATGGCCCGAAGTGCCACATATGTCATTGGAATTTAAAATTGAACTTGATAATTGAAGAATGTGAAAAGATAAACTGACTACAGAAGAAAGTGATAAATAGTTTCTCAGGACTCTTAAAAACACATGCAATCTTTCTACAGACTGCATTTAACCCTGACTGAGCTCAAGTGTTCATTCTTCCAATAGTTTGCACTGTGCATGAACAGTCTACAGAGGCATCAAGCAAAGCATAGCACAGCGGATACATACAGCATGCATGAAGAATGAGAGTCAGTACCAAAAGCAGATCACTTTCTATGAGAAAGAGCCACTAAACTACTCGGCTAGTCTTTTTTAAAATATTTTAGCTACTAGTAAATTAGTCACCAGGAACATTTTTAACACAAAGACAAATAAAATGGTTAATTAACATTAAAGTGTTAAGGTACTGACCCCCCCAGCTCTATATATTGCAATATAACATCTGCATGAAGTAACACAGATAAAGTAGCAGTAATTTGCGTGTTTCTCAATCTCAGGGTTGGCTGTCTTGTTGTGTAAAAGATCTAATAAAAAACTAAAGGTCAAAACCAGAATTTTTTGATAAGACATTCAGCAGATCTGCGTAGTGAGGGTGAGAGACAGGCCTGCAGGCTCAGGTGTTACAGGAAATCTCAGAGGGAGAACCCTCAGTCATCTTTCACAACAAGCTGACAAATGTAGCTGGCTCTGTCAAAATGCATCTGCTGGTTTAACATGAGTGTCTCAAGATGACAATGATACAAACACATGTGCCAACTCAAGTGGGAGTTCATTCCCACCTGAGCTCCTCTGTAATACCACCTCTTCAGCACCACCACAGCACTGCCGTGTCATCAACACACTTAGGGCTTCTGTTACTATGTTTTCATTTTGAGCAAAGAAAATGAATTTCAAGTAGAAACTAAAACACATTTTTAAATTGGATGAGTAAACCTACCTTATATGGTTAGTCTTACTTGAATTAGTTGGTGATTTTATCATTTGTTCCCTTAAGCCAAATGAGATTGCAAATACTGGCAGAAGAGTGTAATTAATTTAAAATAGAAATTAAAATATTTATAGGTATGTTCATTCATTACTCCAGGATGAATATGCTTAATTCAGACGGTGACCACTGGAACTTGGGATTAATTAGCAACTGTTTTGTTAACAGAGAAAATATACAAGGATACTAGTGTTGAGATGATTTGAAAATGGGCAAAAGGGTAGAAGTATACTTGAAGCAAAAAGTAAAATATGGAGGAAGACAGAGAGTCCAAGGCAGAACGAATGCATCTTTGCAAGATGACATATGTGTGGGGAAACTAAGCGAGCGCAGGTTGTTTTCTGTTAGACATGATAGTCATTTGGGCTCAATCACATCTGAAACTAGTGACGAAAAAATGTTTAGCAAAACACCAAATATGATATATGTTGCATTATTTTTGCTGATTTCTTTATTTTGTTTTATTTGCACTCATTTTTGAAACGTTAAACCCTTACACCAATTATGATTTCACTCATTAAGACAAAACTTAACGGACTTGTGGAGACTCACCTGCGAAGGATCAGTTACAATGATCAAACTCTGAATAAGCAGAGTGGAGAAATTTTTTCATCTACAAAAGATATCACTTCTTTATGTCTGCATAGTGTGTATGAGGCACCTGAAGTCAAACAATTATGCTGGTTATGATTGTAGTCTCTGCTCTCTAGTCTCAACAGACCACATTTTCCCCGGGGCAAGAGAAAGCAGCTCTCACAAAACACAGGTTACCACCACTGCTTTACATCAAGCTCGTGGCTGTGACAGTTAAAAAAAAAAAAAATAGCACTTAGGTGAGGCCGCATTCAACAGGGACAAATAATTTTTACAATATCAAACATATAATAATAATAATACTAATAATAATAATAATAAAAAAACGTGTGGATTTCTGATAGACACAAGGTAAAGTAAAAAAAAATTTTTTCACTTTGTTAATTGTTTTTTTTAAAATCTTTTTTCTATTCAAACTTATGAACTTGTTCGTGAATTTCACTTTCTAAGGATCTCTTTTTTCACAAGTCTAAATTGGCACATTAATGGACCCAAAATAGAGAGTGGGGTCCTGATGGTGTGGCATATACTGCTGGAAACTCAACGCTTTCCTCCACAGATAAACATCAAGGTGTTGACTTAGTCAACTCAGTGCTTATAAAAATGTTTAGCTTCCTTTGACATTTAGGTAATATATTAACTGATCTGTACATTTAAGAAAAAATATCTTCCTAAGGTATTACTTATAACAAACAACTATTACGGTAAGTGGATGGACAAGGAACCACAAACTAAAGAAGAATGACTGGTCACTGCAAAAGAAATACAATTAACTAAAACCGACTAAACAAAAATAAAGAAAGATGCGAGAATATTATGATCAAATCTGATTCTACTGATATAACTTGGATTCAAGCGCAACCCTATTGTTTTCAGCATTGAATGACTATATCAGGTAATCTTCACTGTGCCAACAAATTAACAACTCAGACAAAGTTTTTTACTTGGCGAAATAAAGAATACACCTATAATTTCAAGCTAATTCTTATATTAAAAGACAATGCTTGAAGCCATTCTTCTTCAATTAAAAAAAAAAAGCACACAGTAAAATTGACTGTAGTATCTGAAGATGTACAGATCATCTCCATTCCACTCAAGGCCAATGTTGATGTGTAAAATAAATCTGTCAAAAGTTTGTTCTTACTTATCTGGTTTCTGTTATGTGCTACCTCCAAACTTTTTCAGTGTGAGAGAAATAAAGAAAACTTCATTATAACAAGAAAACTTCATTATAACAAGAAAACTTCATTATAACAAAAAAATAAAAAATAACTTAAATACTTTACAGTTTTCCAACTCTTTACCACACCGTCTTCGATTAGCCGGTGCAAAAATTAATGAGACACAAAGATTAAAATAAAATTGATCACTTTGACTTTATATCTGTGTAGCCTTACTATATTATTCTTTTTTTTAATAGATATATCAGGACATTTACCCTGCTCCGAAGATAGTCTGCCAGGTTCTTTCGCGTGAAGTTTGCTGCTGCTGATGGACTGAGCTCATAACCTAAGAAAAAGAAGGCACAAAGCTTTGAATATAAATGTTTTTAGCAAGCAAACTGGTTTCCCAAAAACATTTTAGAGTTAAACTTAAAACCTATAAGGACCAGCAGCATCACAACAATCATGTCTGAGGTTCTTACCGTTCCTCATTTTGTAGAGCTGCACATTCTTCTGGATGTACTCTGCAAACTGCACTGTGTCTCCAGCTTCTCCCACACACAGCAGCAAAATCTTCTCACTGAGCTTGAACATCTTGTCATAGTCTGAAAAAATATAAGGAAGAACACAAATTCATTAGTCTGTTCCTAAATTGTCTTATAGTTTGTAGTCAAACCTTTATACACACACACTAATCATGACCATGGTAACTTTGGGCTATTGATGATTTCTTTGAACTGTTCTTTTTCCAGCATAAAAAGGATTTGACTGACACCACTATTTGGATTGACAAATACTCAGAACAATGAAAAAGCCCAAGAAACTGTAGATTTACACAAGTTAGGAAGATCTCTTGGAGCCATTTCAGAACAACTACAGATTCCAAGATCATCAGTTCAAACAAATGAATGCAAGTACAAGTTGTATGGATGTGTCACCACTTTGCAAACACCTGGGGGAAGACCCAAATAGTCACTTTCAGATGAGAGGAAACTGATTAGGCTGTTCAGGAACCACCAAGGCTCAAGCCAACCTTGAAATTAAAACTGCTGGTGGCACAATGCACAGCGAAGGGTGTTTGCATCACCATGGACTGAGAGGGTGCCCACCAGAAAAGAAGCCCGTGCTCCAAAATTGCTGCCCACATGGATCACTCAACGATCAAAGTATTACGGCCAGACAAGACAATAATTTAAGTATATGGCCACAATGACAAGATGTTGTTTGGAGGAGTAAAGGTGAGGCTTTCAGATGTAAAAACACTGCATGACCTGTTAAGCCTGGTGGTAGCATCATGCTCTGGGGCAGTTTGCTGGCAGTGGTGCTGGTACTTTAAACAAAGTGCACAGAATAATAATGAAGGACTACCTCCAAATTCTTCAACCTCAACCCAATTTAACAGCTTGCAGGTTGAAGCATCAAGAATTGTGGTCAAAACTCAGTCAGAATTATGCCAGAAGTCTGTTGATGCCTTCCAAAAATATAAGATCAGGGTACAACTTGCTAAGTGAACCAAATACGAAGTAAATTCAAACTTGTTCTCTCAACTCTCATTTTTATATTCATTAAAGACACATGCTGTACAATCATTTCACTCTGCAAAAAGAACAGATCAAACAAATCATTAATAGGCTAAAATTATCCATGGTGAGTGTAAGTAAACTTCCATTTCCACAGTGATACAGTGACTTTCACTTTCGTTGTCAGTAACCTTCTTATGGCAACTCATGCTAAGGTTGCCAACTTTAGTTACGAATGAAATGTAGAGTTGATCTATTAGCTAGGAAAAGGTTATGATAATGCTGAGAAAAAACATCAAACTGCGATAGAAGATATTATTTGCTACCTTACTGTTAGCTTTGCTAGCTTTAGTCACATTCAGTGTGTAGTTACATGTAAATATTTAGCAAAATGAATAAAAAATTGGTTCAAGTAGTACTTATTAGAAGCAGAAAGCCGATTTAATGCATTTAGAGACTCTAAAATGTAGCTATGTTAGCAAATCTGTCTAAAATAACCGACTATGCGGCTAACGCTATAAGCTAACGCGTTGTCATACCGTGTTTCATCTGAATGATGCTGCTTGCCGCAACATTATCAGCGGCGACGAGGACAAAATCCGGTCCCTGTATGCCGATTAAATATTCCATTCTGTTGACCTGATACAAGTTGGAGTATTTATATAAAACAGATTAAATTATGAGCAGTCTCTTAGCCTCGCCTGTATGGATTACACAGCAAAAGTTTGTGATAGCCGGCGCACAGTGTTTACGTCACAGCAAAGGAAGCTCATATTTTCCACGCGACGCGGGCGGGCAATTTGAACGTTCGCTGTTGTTGTGTGCCCTGTGTTGGTTGAGTTACAGTCTGATCTGCTGTAAGAAGGGAAAAGTATCTGGAGTTTCTTCAAGAGACTGTTGGGATGAACGAAGGGACTCCTCGGAGCATAATGACGGACTCTAATAGCATTGACAGCTCGCAGCGGAGACGCTCCCCGCGGCTGAGCTCTCCGCAAGCTCAAAGTGACAACAAAATGGCGCTGCCGTCTCTCGCTGTTAAACGCTCAATCACCGTAAGAAAAATAGCGCCCAGAAAAACAGTCGCGTTATCGGAACAGAACAAGGAGAACACGCCGAGGCCGTCCAGCTCTGAGGGCATCCAGCAGAAAAAGCCGAAGGTCTCCACGCCCGGTCCCGTCCCGGGCCGAGAGAGCAGCTCTTCCTCGGCTAAGAAGAAAAAGGCCACTATGCCTTCACCGATCCTCCCCTCATCACCGCCGCCCGCTTCTCACCCCCCGCAGATGGATCCAGAGGACGCGGTGTGGTCGCAGAAGGTACGCCGATCTTACAGCAGGCTCAGCGAGAATTCACTCAACAGCCCCGAGTCTCGTGAGACTTTATTCGGCTTTGAGAAGCTGAAAACCCCAGAGGTCCGGAGAGCCGGGGTGTCCAAGTTTGGCCTGGAGGTTTCTGCAGGATCCTTTACAGGACTGAACTCATTCACGTCTTTGCTTGAGGCTGATGACTGCGGTGGTTCAGCTTTCCCCGAGCCGGACCCAGACATCCCCGGAGTGGCTGTGGTGAAGGAGAGGAGGAGGAGGAAGAAGAAGGTCCAGCAGATAGACACCACGGAACTGGACGCTCTGGCTGCAAAGATGAATGCAGAGTTTGACCAGGCTGAGGAGTTTGAACTGGTCGTGGAGTAAATATTCAAGGGAAAAAAGAAAGACTTGGCAGCATGCTTGTGTTTGTCACAGACATGCACACAAACACTGACTCTGGGAGGACTCTGCTGAAAATGTGCTTTTCTTACTCAAAACATTAAAGTTTTATCTGTTTCTATTTGTTCTTATTGTAAAGTTTGATCATTTTGGAGTTTGCTCTTAATGTGATTGCTAGTCATTTTGTGGATGCTTACAGACAGGATAGTTTTTGATGTTATAATGGCCCCATAGTTACATAAACTAGACCAAAATTAAAATGTTTAGATACATTCACCTGTAGCATAATCAGTCAGGATGCACAAATATATCAGGATTGACTGGTGCTGGTATTTTTCAAATAAGATGCCTTTCACTGATTTTTATCTGGTGTGTGACCATCGCTTTTACTCTGGCGGGGTGTTAAAGGCTTTTAAAACAGTTGTGTTCTTACTATAATCTTATTATGAATATTTCATTATCTCCCCTGGCATAAGGGTTGAATAAATAAGAATAAAACAAAGACAAAAAGAATCTTGTGTCACCCTGGAAGCATAATACGGGGGGAGTTGTAGCCTTCAAAGGGCCAGTTTTCTACCCTGTAGAGTACATTTTGTTTCTCTTAATGTTTTTAATAGAGGCTGCAAACAAAAGACTTTGGTATTATTTTCTATATCTAAAACCAGGGTATTTTCTCTTTAATAGAGTGTTTGAATCCACATTTATTGACACAAAGGTTCTATAGCAGTTGCCAATACTCTTGTCCTGAACTGTTTTCTTATGTGTCTTTTCTTGGAAATTTTCATGTAAATAAATGCTAATGCCAGATCTGACATCTGAGTCAAAGTATAGTGTTTTATCCTTTATTTTCCCCAAATTACACACAATATCTTAATTTATAAAACAAAAAAAGAAATAAATAACAAAGATGACCATCACAGACTAGCAACATTATAAATGGTATTTTCATCTTATTCCAGCTGTAAAATGAATATTTCACAGAAACCTGTTTATTTAATCTGTCACTAGTATTTTGTGTTTTGAAGTTATTGCCTGATGATGGCACTCAGGATTAGCCAGCACAGACTAACAAGGTGCCAACCAAGCATGCTGACAGCAAAGAGGTGGTCTCCAGTGGTTATGATGAGGTGAACTGAATGACTGAGTGGGCAAACTGTCTCTATTTAATGAGAGTGGTGGACATTTTTCCTCCAGAGTCTCTTAAAGGAGTGGATGGAGAGGATAATTTGCACTAACAAGGAGCTATGTCCTGAGTAACCAATGCTTCTTGAAAACATGTCAGGATTTGTTGATTTATTTATCACTTAAAAATGAAGAAGGGTGACGTGAGGAGCTGTAGTAACTTCAGAGGGATCAAGGTGGTGAGCCACACCATGAAGATATGGGAAAGAGTTGTTGAAGCTATGATCAGTGAGCAGCACTATAGCTTCATGCTGAGAAAGAGCAATATATGTGAGATGCTTGCTTTAGAGAAGTATAAAAAAGGTTAGAAGGAGCTGTCTGTGTAGGTTTCTCTGTCATCCAGGTCATGGAGCTCAGAAAGAAAAGCAACTGGATTTCCTTAAGATTTGTGAAGACGTTTCATCCAAGAAGCTTCTTCACTTCTAAAACCAAATATTGGAGAGTCCCAGGTCTTTAAGCCCTAGTGGGAGTTGTATCTTAAGAAGGTCACTGACTGACTATTGATCGTGTGCCTCATCACATGAGCCAATGTGTGAAAAATACTTTCTAGTTAACATTCACACTCCAATGAGCACATCAGAAAGCCACCGGAGTTCAGTATCTTCCCCAAGCATAATTTGGTATGCAGACTGGAGCAGCCAGGGATCCATGTGACAACATTCCAATATGTGGATGACCCTGCTCTACTTCCTGAGCTATAGTCACCCCACAAACTTACAGGACATAGTATTTCCAGGCAGTCTCCCATCTAAGTACTAACCAGGACCTGCCATGAGACCAGGCATGTTCAAGGTGGTATGGCTGTGAGTTAAGAGTTGGTGTGACAGATGCTAGGGATAGGACAAGATGGCATTAGACGATCTGCTATAGTGACCCCTAAAGGGAGCAGCTAAAATAAGAAGATCTGACTTACAAAATGACACATTTGTTGCTGACAGACACACTCGTTTGAATAGAGGACACAAAAGATCACCAAGTTGATTCATCTGGTATTAAACCGATCTAAGTCCATATATTTACATTTAACAGCTGACCAATGGGAGATTTTGAATAGATGAGTATCCTCATCCACATTTTCAAAGGTGAAGTACACCCCTAACCGGGCACCAGCCTATCACAGAGAGACAGACAAGACAAGTTAGAATCACCAGTCTTAGGATTACAGAGAGAATATGCAATCTTCACACAGCCAAGTAAGTCAAAAAAGTCAAACCAGGATATATCTGCTGTGAGGCAACTCTATTAACCACTGTTCTACCCACTACCCCAACACATCAGCCAACTGCTGCATACAGATCCAACATGTAAGACTTTCAGGTTAAAACATTAATGATATTGTCCAAAATGTGAAATATAAATTTCCGAGATATCTGTTGCCATGTTGCAGTGATAGCTACTGATTTTAGATGCTAAAAAATTGGCACATACCCATGCTCTCATTTAGTACCACTCTGTACCCCAAAATAGCAAGAAAACCCATCAACAGTTCTTTTAGTTAAATATCGGAGGAAAAAAAAGTAGTATTGTCAAGGCAGACGGAAAGGAACCCACAAAGAGAAGCTGAAGTTTTTAATATGAGGGTTGCCAAGTTAGGGTTTGTTTTTAGGTTATATGTAAGTTAGTGCATTGGTTAGCGTTGTCGCCTCACAGCAAGTTCAGGTTCTGGCTGGCTCGGGCCTTTCTGTGTTGAGTTTGCATGTTCTTCCTGTGCATGGGTGGGGTCTCACCAGGTACTCTGGCTTCCTTCCACAGTGCAAATACATTCGTGTCAGGTTAATTGGTGAATCTAGAATAATGAAGGATATCAATAGATATTGCTTCCAGTTTATTTAGTAAAGCAGATATGAATGCATAGGTAAATGCGGCTCCTCCCTTGGACATCAGACGACAGTGAAGACTGGAGACCTGGTTGTTTGCAGGAGACTGAGATTGTGTGGCTTCTACAGAAGATCAAGCAGGTGAGTTGTTGGATGACTTATATTGTGTAGTTGTGTTAGACACATACAGCAGGCCAAATATGTAATTTAAGGACTGTCGGAAAACACAAAAGTATTCTGTATAATGTTATAATCCAAACAGTATCTTATTTTTTAAAATTCCAAATGGAGTCTGATGGGAAACTTACCATTCAAAGAGTCTTAGTATTCATGTGGATGTTATTTGTTATTTTAACATGTCTTTCTGTCTCCCCCATGTCCCCTTCTACATGATGGCAATTGAAATGTTTTGGTGTTTAGGTATTAGAATTAACTTAGCACCGAAACCTGGATTACTGATAGATGCTGAACACTAACAGTTGGGATTGAAAGTTCTTTATTTCATTAGATTTCAATGTGAACCACAATTTAGCCACAATTTTGGAGTCATTTTTTGCCCTTGTTGTGCTCACTGAGTTTAGAAAAACATTAATAAAAGACAAATTTGGCTTTTTCAGTTAAATTCACACCATGGTCTGTGCTTTTCTGGTTATTTTGTTGTTAATTTGAGTCTTCTATTTCTCAATTGTTCTTATGCTTTAGTTTTTGAATTGCTTGGTTAGTTTAGTTCTCTTTAGTTCTAGATATTTAATCCCTCGTGCTTTAATTTATTAGGCTCTTTTAGCATCTTGATGTCAAGTATTCAACTGTGCCATGTAATTTCTCCATTTAGTTAGTTGCTGTTTTATTTTGTTAGTAATCTGTCTCTGTAGCTTTGCTGTGTGCTTTTCTTCTTTGTTATCATCTTAAATAGTTCCAACTGTGTGCCCGTTTCCCACTTGTGTGTGTGTGTGTGTGTGTATGTGCCCTATAAATTTATGCTATCTCTTGCTGCTTCTTGATTCACCTGTATAGCCTTAATAAAGATTTGTTTGTATTTGTATTTTATGTAAAACCTGCAAGTTATGACAGTTGAAAGTTTTGCAGAAAGGCGTGTTTGTGTTCTTCTTGGTGGTGGAATGTGCAAAATGTGAAACCATCACCATCACTTGCATCACATGAGTTGTTTTATTTATTTGATTTCAAATGAGATTCTTAATACCATTTAAATAATCACAGCTTTACCTTTTCAAGCTCTTTTTTTGCCCACTCAGGAAGTTATTTATTATAATACT